CTTACAACTACAAGTATAGTGTAGATGAAAATTCAGGTTCATTTGAGTTGTATACTTTTGTAAATAAATGGGGCTGTAATTATGCCTCACGTAAGACTGCCCTTTAATGAATGCTGTGTCGAGGTACAGTGACTGCATGCTCTTACTGATTGTGCTGTCTTGTCAGTTTAAGCCCCACGCATCCTGCTACTACCCTCACCTGTGCGAGATGATGCAGTTCGACCTGATCCCAGAGCTCCGTGCCATCCTGCGGCGATTCTTCTTACGCATTGGCTCTGTCTTCCAAATCGCCAGCTCGGAGGGCATGCCATCACAGCCTCCAGCACCCTAAGCCTACGTGGGGATCGGAGAGGAGCTACAGTTGCAGATTGGTATTAGGAAGACTGATGAAGAACACAGCACCCCCTAGTGGGCTTGGGGGAGTGTACCAGGGTGTTGCAGGCAAAAATGGACAAAGAGCCCTTTCCAACCTTGTAGGCTGAACTCTGGCTGTCTGTATTCCAGAATCGGTGATTGTATCTTCCAACCTGAAGCATTATCCATACCTGCCTTCTCTCATGGATGCCACAGGTAGCCGCACATAAATGCACTGTGAGACAGGTGGACAAGCCTTTACCTTGACTGCATTCAACATTCAAAAGTGAAGTAACATGGTTTAAAATGATTTATTTATTAATGTTTGTTTGTGACTTTGTGTGTGATGTTGAGACTGAACAATTAAGTGTTCTCAAATGTTAAATTATAAATCTAAAGGGAGAGTAACAACTAATGGATCGTCTTCTGAACACACAGACAGTGCTAAGGTCTAGCAAGTGTAAGCTTTGGTAGATCTGTGGTTGTGGAGATTTGTCTCTGACAGGTCATTGGTCTGCCGTCTTTGGACTTCTGTTAAAAAACAACTTTTGATTCCTTCTATTTTGTTTTTGCTTCACTTGAAGAGGGTATTTGTACCTCCAGTCACAGGAATCGGTTACAATAACACTGCTGTCACACACTAACAAGAACTTCAGTACTCCCAGCTCTGTGAAATAATATGCTGACAATTTAAGTGAATTTACACTGTGGGCATTAGCCTGCTTTGATGATAAATGATGCTTGTGAAGTCAAGGTTACCTTAGTTACCCCTTTTTCAGGGGCTGCACAGTCCTTAGTTCTTTAAGGTAATTGTCTGCGGTTAATACTTTTGTTCTTTTGGAGCTAACATGCTAGGTTTGTGTTGACCCAGATGCTGGGGGCCCACACTCATTGATTGGCAAATAGAACTTTTTATGAAGGGGAGGGGTGTTACAGCTTTAGCTCTGTCTGTCAATGACCGATGCTGTTACTCCCTGGAGTAAAAAAAAAAAAAAAAAAGAACTATGTAAAAACAACATTCATATACAAAAAATGTTTAAAAACATGCAGCTATCTGAGTATTTGAAAGTTGGCTTCTGCTGCTGCAGTGGAGAGTCATCTTTAAATATATATAATTTTACATTTTCTCACACACACCCAGAACTCCACCTGTTTATTGTAAATGTCTCTTTATGGGCTTAAGACCTAATGAGTTCCAAGTTCACCATGTTAAAATGGGGTCCACCCACATCACCTTATCTGTAGGTAGACGCTAGGGGAGTAGTTATGTTTTTTCTGCCAGTAAATTACATTCATTTGATGTAGGCTAAAGGAACTATTACATTTTAAAGATACCTACTTGTTAGTTTTTAATATCTGGTCTTATAACCCCAGTTTTAAACGTAAAGAGTGCGTATAAAACTGAGGGACTAAAAGACGTGAGTTTACGTTCCGATAGTGATGAACTGGATTCGCAGTTTGTTGTCGAGCTATATAAGGTGGACTGAAACTTAGCGGTTTGGACAATGGGTGGATGAAACTTATTTACTAAATTTCCCTTCAGTCATTCTTCTATTGTTTCCAAGTAACCTCGGCGTTTCATTTATCTCGATTGAATGTTAAATATTACCAACTTGTGGGACTTGGCCCAGTATAATTCGAATGGGGACATGGATGCATTAACCCTTAACTGCACAGTACACAGGCGAAGCTGCTCGGCGGTTGATACATATGTCATTGTCTAGTCGAATAGGAGAAACTTATTTAGCTGAACCTTCCACGCTACTCTGCAAAGTTCAAGACGCGCATTTTTTTAAAGACGTGATTTTATGAAGTGCATATTTTGAAAAGCATTCCTTTCCTTGCATCTGTGGATGTTTACTTTTTCCTCGAGAAAAGGGGTATATATATATATATATATATAAATATAAATATATACAGTATATGGAGAAAACTGTAAAGTTCGTGTAAAATAGTTAAAATATACTATATACAGATACCGTGATGTAATCATTCAGGCATTTGGTCAAGTAATCAATAAACTAATTCTGATCCATTCTGTTTTTGTTTGAACAGTTTGAAGTGTATGTTTGAACTTTGGGGTACAAGACTCTAGGATGGATGGAAGGAGGGATTACTGGTTTTTGATGTTGCCCTAGCTGGATGTCCCACGAAATTAAATTCGTTAAATGTTGCCTTTTTCATGTGGATTTTCATATGTGCCTTTTATTTTAATTGGATTATGTAATTTGTAGTTTGCTAAAGTTTTTAAGCCAGAAAAAAAATGTGTGTAGCCGCAACGTACTACATCTTTTTAGCTTTAGGTATATAGGTCCGTTCATTCATAGCTTTTTTAGGTGTAACGGCCGCAGGGGGGCGTATCAGAACGAAGCCGGATGCCTTTCTGTACAGTATAACAAAGGTTACCATAGAGATGCATTTCGTGTTTCATCTGTGTCCGGTAGCTAAATTATAGCTAACTGTTTACAAGTAAATAGTCATCCATAAACCACTGAGTCTGAGATATTGTAGGGCAACTAGAATCGTATGTAGTCAAGCAGCTAAGTGGTAAGTCGACACTTTTATAATGTGTAGCTTGCTTTGTTTCTTTAATTCGCGATTTATATTTAATTAGCCGACTATCTATGTCCTTTCCCAAATTAAAAACCCTTACTATTAAGGAGGAAGCCGTTCAGTTGGCTGCAGTTATTCCTAGTCTTTGACAGCAGTAGGCGTAACATCCGAGAAGTGAGTTTCCCAAGCCAGCCAATGCGATTCTAGAGCCGAGCACAGCAGCCGCCCTAGTAGCCCCAGCAGAAATGTCGGAGTACCAAATATTTGCGATTAGGGGTCGTACGCTCGTACGGTCGAAGATGTGATGTGTTCAACGAGTATACGCTCACTTTTTCCAGTAAGTAACTGCCTGTATTATGCTGCGATTTATCATTTCACTGATCAGTTTCACTGCACACGTTTTCTTTCAGTTTTTTGCTAACCCGCTAAGGGCAGTAACGTTAGCGAGATAGCTAGCTACGTGTACAGTAGTAATTGTTTACGTAGCCGCTAAAGCCTGAAATAAAATAAGACATAACTGACTATATGACCTGTTACTTTAATAACTGGTGATTTTTTTGTTACGGGAAGTGTAAAATGTAGAAGGTACCCGCAAGGGCTAAAATTACGCTGGACACGACTAGCTTCTTAACTGTAGTTAGCTGTAATGCTGTTAGTTATAATGACATAGATTATAGTATAACTCATTTTATTTAAGGATTTATACCCCCGAATAACATATATCCTGTTAACTAGCCAAATAATGGTATCAATGTCTGGCTAGTTAACTTGATTTGGAGAATAATGGTAGCTTTGAGTGCGTCCTATTTAGTTGGCCGTGTAACGTGGCCGAAGAAGTCGTTGTCGGCTCCTTCCCAAAGATCACATGGCCCGCGAGATGATGTTCGCCCGCGGTCAAGACGGCGATTCGACTCGCGGAACGTTCGGTCATGACCGTCCTGGCGAACAGAGAGACGCCTCTATCACGCGCCGCCAATTAATGTCCGGCCTCCGTGCGCCACTGTTGCGTAATAAATGGGGACTGGTGGACGAGTAGCCGAAGCCTTTTATCTGTATCCAGTCATTAGAGGAAAACGTCTAAGTGCAGCACCTCGAAAGTTAGTATTGTCTGATATTAAACCTGGGATACTGCCGGAGGCAAGTTGACCGCTTATCTGTGCGCAGGACCCTGAAAATTATATAGTCTGGTCGCAACTAAGGTAAAAAAAAAATTGAAGACTTAAAATTCCGTCCTTGACATTTACACCCGTATATGTTTACGTTATATTTCATGAAGATCGACTAAAACACTAGCTTATCTGGTACCCTGTGCTTCGTAGTAATAATCGTTTGAAAATAACGATTTAATGTTATAATGGTAAATATGCGCATTGTGAAAATTATATTTTTGTTTTTTTCGAACTGTGAACGTCGACTTCTTTAGTGGTTGAGTGTTACTGGAGATATCATTTTTTATGAAAACTTGCAGGCTAAATTTCAGCACTAGGAAAGATTGGAAGCTACACTGGTTGATAATCACGGTCGCCGGGGCTGCGTGGTTTCTCCGTACAAAATACTGCTGTGATGTCGGACCAAGAATCAGGAAGGCAATTCTATTGTAATTGACAGCTGGCAAGCACGCGTCCTTTTGTGGTCTCCTGTTTTTTAGTATAGTGTGTGCACAGGTCTGAATTAGAAAACTTGAGTTGTATGGCGCTTGTATAAAAATCCCTTATGATTGTTGACCTAGATTGGACTTTTTCTGTATTTCCAAGCTACAAAGGAAGATACCCAGGTCCCAGCAGGTGATAAAAGTCTCACCATCTGGCAGGTGGAATATGGTCTCATTAAGAAGGGGAGAGATAGGAGTCATGCATTATTCATGAGCTTCTGCATGTGGTTACCTCAGATTTAATTTGAACTGTGGGTAAATAATGTCAATGGGTAACTAATGTGGTGCAGTGTTTACTTTCATTGCTGTGGTGGGTTTTTCTTTCTGCAGGGTGTGAGCCACTGTGCTAGTCCCTCCACCCCCCTCCCTCCATAGAAGTAATCCTGCTTCAAAATCCACAAGGTAAAGAAGAATGGTCATTGAAGCCTGAGTTGGACTAAGATTACAAACAAAAGGAGGACAGAATAAGAAATAATGTCTTACAGCAACAGAGAACTGGTGATGGACTTCATAACGTATAAACTGTCCCAGAGGAACTACAATGGCCACTTTGGGCTTCCTGAAGACAGGGGTCGGACAGAGGGCTCGGGTCAGGCCGATGGGCGCGAGGGGGTTATGGTAACAGCAACTCATGTCAATGGGTCGGTCATTGCTGGCGGCACCAGCAGCCAGGTGTCCCCAGTGCCTGAGCAGCCGCTCCATTCCCCATCGCCCTCTCCACAAGGCCTGGAGGCGGTGAAGGAGGCATTGCGGGATTCTGCCAACGAGTTTGAGCTACGCTACAGCCGCGCCTTCAGCGACCTCTCCTCCCAGCTTCACATCACACCCGTCACGGCCTACCAGAGCTTTGAGAGTGTAATGAACGAGGTGTTCCGCGATGGAATCAACTGGGGCCGCATCGTGGGCCTCTTTGCCTTTGGCGGGGCCCTGTGCGTGGAGTGTGTGGAGAAGGAGATGGGCCACCTGGTGGATCGTATTGCTGACTGGATGACCGTTTACCTGGACAGCAACATCCAGCCCTGGATCCAGCGGCAGGGAGGATGGGTGAGTGAGGGTGCCAAATGATGCCACCCAGGCAATGCCACATGAGCAGGGAACACATGGTGCAGAGCCATCCAAACATCCATGCTGATGGTGCACCCACCTTCCCAGTCATTAACTGAACATCATCTTGGTCTGACCTACCCAGCTGCACAGTATTAGTCAATTTGTGCTGTTGTAAGTGCTCATAATATGGGTACTGTCAAAAGACAAAGTCCCTCTGAGAACATCTCTAACTGGAATGGCGAATTGAAGCATGCCATTGGGACTTCGTTGCAGTACTTGTTTGCAATACTTTCTCTTTTTACTATGAGGCAGGAATGGGATAGTGTTGGACTAAATCATAAAAACAGAAATACAAAAAGGAGCGGCTTCAAAAGAAAGGCCCTCTGGCAAAAATGGGATGGGAGCTGAATCATACAAACACTCAACTGATACATTGGGGCTGAACTGCAGAAATTTATTACAGGGAAAGAGGTTTCATGTCTTGTGATTCAAACTTGTATCTAGTTTATTGGGGTGTAAACCAAATACATCATAACATGTCATATATATATATTGGATATACACACACACACACCTACCTAAAGGATTATTAGGAACACCATACTAATATGGTGTTTGACCCCCTTTCGCCTTCAGAACTGCCTTAATTCTACGTGGCATTGATTCAACAAGGTGCTGAAAGCATTCTTTAGAAATGT